TGTAGACCAGTCTCGACCTCGAGCTAAAGTGACCTCGAGATGGGTCAAGAATAATAAAGCCAAAGGACAATTTTGATGAACAATGAGCCAAAAAGTAAGAGAGTATATTCTTTGCCAATGATTAGATGTTGTTTACAAATGATTGGGGTCCCTTTTATATAATAGGGGAACCCTAAATAAGGTACATTTCCATTTACAGTAAAGAATCTTATTGAGACAGTTGTCTAATTGCCTAGTACGGATTCGCACAAATTTATTCCGGGATTTGCGCCACGATCTTGGGGACGTGGCAGGAATCTTGCTCATTCTGTTACAAATCCATAACGGCATTATCTCGAGGCCTGTCATATTAGGCTTCGACGTTCCTCGAACACTTGGTTCTTCGAGCCTTGTACTGTGTCATCGAGCTCGAGCCTAGCTCGAACTTGATCCATCCCGAACTCGGACTTAAGGCGACCCCTCGAGCCCGGAAAATTGAGCATACCCGATTTTGACCGTATACATTAAGTTATAAATTTTACTTTACTTTTCTAAATATAAGAGAATAAGAAATATTAGAAACTAAATATTCAATGAGTAAAGGAAAGGAAATCTTATTGATTATTGCAGCTTCAATTCAAGAATTGAGAGTAAGATATTCAATTAAGCAGAGAAATAAGAGTAAAAGACTAATTGCATATATTTGTGAATTCCTTGATGATCGTACAAAGTATGGCAAACGGTGTTTATATAAGAATACATTATGTAACTGTTTTCCTTGCTTAATTCTTGTCTGTTACTAACATTAACTGCATTAATTGCCCATTACTCAAATTATTCGTAGCTGTTATGGTAATAATAAAGGAAATTTTACCTCCTATAGCAAAGGTATACACCCTATTTTTTATAAATCAAAACCATATATACACCCTATTTATTATAGAGATTTTTTCCTTCCTATACCATATATGAAACCTTATTACCAAAAATGTGCATAGTTTCATATTTACCCGCCATGTTCACAGTTTTTCTATAATTATTATACCATTCATTAAATACTAATTATGAGGAGCTGATTCCTTCCTAATTAGGCACGCTACAAATCAGGAACAGAATATTCTAATTGTTTTAGCGACCTTCAGATCAAATTTGAAACGCAAATCCTATATCTTCAATCTAAAGTCAAATTACATAGACTCTTTTCTGCAAAAACTCTGTTCTTCGATATTTTTTCTTAAGCCACAAATCAAAAAAAGACAAAATTGTCAACAAATTTGAATCAAATTGTAGAAATCAGTTCTGCAAAAGCTCAGTTCGTCGACATTCTCTCTACGTCTCTCTCTATTTCTCAATCGCAAATTTCAGTAATACAAAGCAAACGAAAAGAGAGAAGCAATTCCACCATTGACAACCATTAAAAAGCTTGAAAGCTTTGAAATCAAATTTGGATTTTCAAAAATCATTATTTGTTTGGATTGGGTATTGTTGAAAATAATCGGGAATATGGTTTGGAGTTTATATCTCAATTTTGAGGGGTTTTGGTGAAGATTAGACTTGGTTTTGACTGAATTTCAGATTGAAACTCGAAGATGAAGAAGAAGAAGACATATTGCAGAAATTGTAGATAAATTATAGATAAATTGTAGATTATTTGTATTCTGATTGTAGATGCTTTATTTTCTGTTTTCAAAAATAAAAAACGGCTAAAACTTCTACAAATCTTCTGAAAAAATACAATTATGTCAAAAATCCCAATTATGCTACAATTGAATAGGAATTGGGATATAAAAATTCAATGTACCCAGTTTGTAGATATTTTCTAGATAAATTGTAGATTATTTGTATTCTAATTGTAGATGCTTTATTTTCTGTTTTCACAAATCAAAACGACTAAAACTTCTACAAATCTTCTGCAAAAATGCAATTATGTCGAAAATCCCAATTAAACTACAATCGAATGGGAATTGGGATATTAAAATTCAATATACCCAGTTTGTAGATATTTTGTAGATGAATTATAGGTTATTTGTATTCTGATTGTAGATGCATTATTTTCTGTTTTCACAAATCCAAAACGACTAAAACTTCTACAAAATCTTCTGCAAAAAACGCAATTATGTCGAAAATACCAATTAAGCTACAATTGAATGGGAATTGGGATATTAAAATTCAATGTACCCAGTTTGTAGATAAATTGTAGATTATTTGTATTCTGATTGTAGATGCTTTATTTTCTGTTTTCACAAATCAAAAACGACTAAAACTTCTACAGATCTTCTGCAAAAGACGCAATTATGTCGAAAATACCAATTAAGCTACAATTGAATGAGAAATTGTACCAATGTCGAAAATACCAATTAAGCTACAAGCTACAATCGATGTAGAGTAGCAGAAAATTCAAATCGGGTGCTGATTGAAGTTAAAACACGAGCTTCTTTGTCTTTAAGTAAACGAATGAAATGTGAGAGACGAAGACGAAGAAATTATAGAGCCTGAAGAATTTTCATAATTGGCTCTGAAGAATTTATTATAACTCATTGACACGGTCATTAATTAATTCCTCTTTAGTCCGTCAACTCTTTTGCTTGTCTTTGTCTCCTTTCTCTTTGAGACTTCCTGATCTTGTTTTAATTATTGATAGTTTTTCCCCTTTTCACTTCTCAAAATTTATGAGTTTTTCTGCTCTTTTCGGTTCGGAGACAGAGGGTCCAGTATCAAATCTGGAGGTTTTTAACCAGGAACTTGAATGATTGCTGTTCCTAATTGCAATGTAAGATTTAAGTGTTTCTACATTGATATGCTGCAAATCTATGTTTCCATAATCATAGGTTCTTATGTTTAATAACAGTACATAAACGTGGGTGAGGGTAAGGTTTGGGAGAGAGAAACGTGGGAGGGATGGGATATACGGTACCTTGAATTAAGGAGGGATATACGTTGCATTAATTGTACCCTTAAAATACACTATGGTATAGAATTGGTAATTTAGTATGCTAAGTGTAATTAAGTCAAACCTTAAACATTGAGGGTAATAAGGTTTCCTATGTGGCATAGGAATGTAAAAATTCCTTTATTATAAACCAAAACCATATATACACCATATTTATTATAAACCAAAATCATTTTAAAATATTATTTTCTATAACTACCTTTTATATTTTATAGCAAAATAGGTATTTATGGTATATACTACAATTGAGGAGTGAAATACGCAATTTATATTTTCTCTCTCTCTCTTTCTTTCAATTAACACACGATTCTCTCTCAAAATCCTAACTAAATTTTTTTCTTTCTCTCTCTCTCTTCCTTCTCTCTCTTCGAGCAAAATAACTGCTTAGTTTCTACGCTGTATATTGCAACGGATTTGTAGTGCTTAGTTTCTACACCGGATATTTGCAATGAATTTGTATTGTAATATTAGAAAGAAAGAGACCACGCTTTCTTCTACGCCGAACATTGCAATGGATTTCTCTACACGGATATTGCAATATTTTTTTTACGCCGGAGAAGATTTGAGGGCCGGGGCTTTACTTCGTCTCCATTTTTAGTTTTAATACAATGTATACAATATTTTGCTTGGCCGGAAAATGCTATCTCCGGCGAACTTTCTTCTATTCTTTGCTATTTAGTCACATACAATGATACAAATACATTATATTTTGTATAAATTCACTCAAATATATAGTATTTTTGTATAAATAAATTATTTTTTGTCAGTATTTATGTATTTCGAAGGTTTTGTATTTTTTAATACAGCTGAATACACATATATTCATGCATGAATATAGGATATTAACATTGAATACACTGAATGCATACATTAATATAGAACAGAATATTAACAGTGAATATATTTAATTTTAAAATACAGTAAAATACGCTGCAAATAAAAATACGCTGAATACAACTAATGAAATATACTGAATACAGCGGTAGCATGTATTAGGAATAACTAAAATACTATTAATACAAATACATTTGAATACACTGAATATAAAATGGCAAATACAATAAATACAAACATTGAATCTAATGAATGCAACAGTAAAATAAAATATTGAAACACACTAAATACAAAAGTTAAATACAATAGTTATATACAACTGAAAAGTTATTCTAATTAATTGGGTTGATAATGAGGCATGGTAGAATTGATTTTGTTGAGTTATATTAGGAGTGTATCACGCTAATTGATATTATTTCCATTATTAGACAGTTGGACATACCTATTTTTAAGGTGATTGTTGTTACTGTATTCATGAATACATGGCGCGAATACATGTGAATACATGCGCGTACAACTGGACTGCCCTGATTTTATGCGCTTTTTGCTGATGTATTCGTGAATACAGTAGCGCAATATAGCGTATACATTACCGTAATAACTGAATAGTAGCTATAAGAAGTAATTATGTATATGATAGCTATAGGAAGTTAATAGCCACTAAACAATAGTGGTTTCTGAAAATTCCTCAATAATAAACAATCGTGTATAATCAGGGATCATGCTGATTCCTTTTCTATATTTGCAGTTGTCGATGAATCTTCCTCTTTTACAGTCTTCATGCATCTCGTGGCTATCTCTTCTTTCCCAATTGTCAGGTACGATATCTTTTGTAAACAATATCATGGATATTTTTCTCAAACCTCATCATTCTTCTTTATTGATCTTATTCATATGACATCTGTCACCTTATTATTAACCGACGTGTCATATAAATTTTTCCACCAACACATTATTTAGCTGTCTAAAATTTGTTGGGCGGCGTTACTCAATATATATGCTGATAAAAGATATATACGTGTAAGTTAGCCGGGAAATGAAAGAGAACATAGGAGAATGGAGGGGGATGAGAAAGGAGAATAAAGGTAGTAGACAAAATTATTTTCTTCAATTCATTTAACTAAGCAAGAGAATAAAAACTTTTGAAGATCCTCTTATTCCTTCTTTTTTGCATTATTCCTTGATCGACATGTTAAGCAACAACTCGATTGGACAATCTGGAAATGCCTAATAAAGATAAGGATAATTGTGTGGCACGCAATGCTCATATAATTAATGCTTTGCTTCGTATGAGTAGAGTTCAATAATTAAAAGAAGATAATTACAAGATAAACTCCCAATTAATACTATTGTTCCTAAAGAACTTATTTACATTACAATTCTTATTTTGGTAAAAAGCAGAAGAAATAACTGAAATTGGCAGCCGGCACACCTTAATCCTTACCACATACAGATAATAGACGGATCACAGCAACACTCATCTATCAGGCAACAACAACACAGAGCTGCTAGGCTGCAATAAATCGCAAAATTAAAATAAAATAAAGTAAATAAGAAAAGAATTTACTTAAAAACATCTTTTAGCCAAAAAGGAAAGAATTAAAACAAGAAACACATGAAAATGAATTTTCTTTTTTAAATGAGTTTAAACTTTACAACATTGCAGGTAAACAATTTTGAACTATTATGTTACTTAAAAGACATAATAAAGATAAATCATCCATAGAAAGTGAGATTGATAACCTTAAAAAAAAAAAAAAGGCAAGTTATCTTTAAGTGCGCTAATAGTGTAAAAAATCATCTACTCCTTGCACATAAGCTAAATTCATCAAAGAAAGGCTAATAATTATTTTTCTTGCTTTTCCTTAGTACACTATTATTGTTAAAAATCTCAAAGGAATCTCTTCATATATCAATAAAATTTAGGACAAAATGGAGGAGCAAATTAAAGCTTACCATCCTTCAAGAAAACCTCTGTTTTTCTGAGGTGGAGGAGCAGCTGCATATGTTGGTGGCGCCATCACTGGAGGAGGAGGACCCTGATAATATCCTATATTTCAAGAAACATTAAAAAAAAATGAAATATGCTCAGCTCAACTATTTTGGTTTTAGCAAATACAAAACTAAATGAAAAGAAGGGGAGTTTGGCACAACAGTAAAATTTATCATCATCTAACTAGGAGGTCACGCGTTCAAGTCGCAAAACAGCTTCTTGCAGAAATGCAAGATAGGGAATTCACGAGTTCTAAGTCGTAAAAATAGTGTCTTGCAAAAATACTAATGTGTTCCTTCCCCACTTCGTAAAGAGCCGGAGCTTAGCATACTAAACTGCCTTTTTTATAAAATAAATAGAAAAGAGGAACATAAATATAGAGCATATAGATGTGTTATTAGTTATTACCTTGACCTTGAGAGGGGTATGGATAACCATATTTTGGTGGCTCATACATGTCTGATAAACTCAATAATTAGAAAATCCTCAACACAGAAGTAAAAAGAGAAAAGAAGAAAGAGAGAGGGATAGAGCAGATAGATAATTGATGGTATATGAAAACTACGTACAGCTTTTGTAGCTGGATTTGTTCTTATATATAAATATTCTGAACAAAAAAAGCTTTTGGTGACAATGAGAATATGATTCCTTTCAATTCTTGTTTGTTTAGGTACAGCTTTGGATGGCGAAGGAAGAAGCAACCGGAGAAAAGTGAAAGGGTCCTTAGCTTGCACTTGTCAAATACTGCAGCAGAATGACTTGCTATTTGAAGATGTTTTTTGTTTTTGCTTTTCTGATTTTTTTTTGGTTAGGTAAATTCCTTTAAATAGTGATTATTATCCTCATTAATGTTCTCTGTAGGATAGTTGCAGCACTAGGGAAACATGTGGCAACACAGCAAGGTGCATTAAATACTTCAACTGCTCCAACTTCCTTGTTGGAAAAAATATATCCGAATTTGATGATTATGAGGAAATTAAATTACAATAAAAAGTATGTGTTGCATATAATCCTGCGGTCCATAAGAAATGACCAATTTGCCTTTTTATTTCGGAAAATATATTTGGCCAAACTAAGAATGGCCCAAATGTCCAGAATGGGGGTATTATGGTAACTTCGCACGACTTTTGAGGGCATAATGGATATTTAAGCATTTTCGTTTTCCAGATATACCCTTTAGCCGATTTGTTTTTTAATTTAATTTTTTCCCTCCAATTCTCTCTCATTAGTTTAATTGTCTTACCTTCCCCATGCTTCTTTCACATTTACACATGCATGCTACACTACTTTTCATAAAGCAATTTATACTCATATACATATACTATACCAATTAAATGAAATAAACTAAAATATACGCATAGTATACTAAAAAAAATACGATTAAACTACTGTATTATAGTTTCTATATTACTGTATCACTAAAATAATATTTTATTACTTTCTAACCCTAACACTTAAATATATAGTGCTTCAACTAAGAAGCCACTACAACAAATGTGATTTTCAACCACGAAAATATTAGCTACAATAGAAAATTTGTCACTAATTATCTATTTTTTGTGACTAAAATTATATTTCGTACATAAATACATGATGCACATACTTTTAGTGACAAAACATAAATTTTATAGCAAAATTTGTCTAACTAAAGTTTCCCACAAAAAAATGAATTGGCGCCAAATATTAATTAATATTAGCCACAAAATTAAATTATTGGTGATAAATTAGTTTCGTCACTAATGTTGTAGACAATTGGTGACAAATAATTGTTCGTCTTAAAATTAGTTATATTTTCGTTATGAAATAGTTTCCTCACTAAAAGTTTTATATTTTTTGCAACCTTAGTTTTTGTCACTAATAGCATAAACAAATTAGTGACGATCGGTGTATCATCTCTATTTTACCTATGAAATTATTAGGTAGCATAAAAAGTTCATCACTGTTGTTATCTTTTTGGAACAAAAATTAGAGTCGTACTTAAATGCACACGCACATACATTTAGTGAAGAAACAAAAATTTCGTAGCGATAGTTTTATCTACTCAAGTTTTCCACCAAAAAAATAGATTGTCGCTAGTTATTTAGTAACATTAGTCACAATATCTAAAGTTACTGGTGACAAACTAGTTTCATCTCTAATATTGTAGGCAACTAGTGAAAATTATTATTTGTCTAAAATTAGTTATATTTTAGCGGTGAAAAGGCTTGGTGACTAAGAGGGTGTTTGGCTAAGCTTATAAGCTGGTCCACTTCCCGGTAGGACTTAAAGTCTCTTTGTAGAGTCCCTATGCAACCGTTACACTTCCCAGTAGCCATATCCGCTCCTCCATGCGGACACACATCCTAGCAGCCCCTTCCACTCCTCCATGCATCTATTACACTTCCCAGTAGTCTCTTCCACTCCTTCATGCAACCATTACACTTCCCAGTAGTCAATTTCACTCCTCTACCATTGCACTCCTCCATGCAACCATTATTCTCCTTCATGACTATAATTAATTATAGAAGCTTGTCTTTATCCATCCACCTATACAGATTTTGGATTTTTTTTAACTTCTGCCATATAGTGGCAGTGCACTTTACATATTTTGGATTTTTTAAAACAATTTTTTTACACTTTTACCATATAGTGAGAGTGCACTTTATAGGTTTTATCTCATAGTCTTAACCTTCATCTTGGTGGTTGAATTCTAATTAATAACGGATCGATTTCCAAAATTTTGTTGTAGTAAATACAATTTTTGATTTTTCGTGTTGATTTTTCCACTTCTCTATGAGCAAAGTAATGTCGATTTTTAAACTTTAAAAAAAAATAATCTTCCTAGTTTTGTTCTTGGTTGTAAAATGATAGAAAAGAATAGGGGGACTTCTGCACTAAATATATTGTTAAATAATTTCTCAATTTTAATTGGCTATTTTTAAACCAAGTCTTCTTAAAATAAATAAATATAACAATAATAAATGAAAAAAACACAAACAATATTATAAAGAACAATCATATTAATCCATTATTTTGATCCACCTGAAGTTAGTAAATATAACTAAAGAGAAGAAATTACAAGCTAAACATTAGTTTATCCTAGCACTTCAACAGAGAAGATCACAGCCCCTGATGTAGCCTGAACTAGTTCCAAGAGAAGAACACTCCCTTTCTTCAGATTATTGTCGACAACAAATTATTTCCACCATTAACGAGTCTTCTCCGAACACCACTTGTGGAAGTCACAGCCCATTCCTCCCGATATGTATGAAATTAATATAAACGGCTATTATATAAACGGTCAAGATTACTAAGAATGACAACGATATAATTAGCATAGGTTATATGACTACAACTATATTAGTGAATGGACTTATATGGTTGTTATAGGCCGATATGTATGAAATTAATATAAACGGCTATTATATAAACGATCGATATTATTAAGAATCACAACGATATAATTATCATAGGTTATATGACTACAACCACATTAGTGAATGGACTTATATGGTTGCTATAGGCCGATATGTATGAAATTAATATAAACGGCTATTATATAAACGATCGATATTACTAAGAATCACAACGATATAATTACCATAGGTTATATGACTTCAACCATATTAGTCAATGGATTTATATGGTTGCTATAGGCCGATACGTATGACCATAATGAATTAACTTATATAAACGACTATTATATAAACGGTCGATATTACTAAGAATCACAACGATATAATTAGCGTAGGTTATATGACTACAACCATATTAGTGAATGGACTTATATGGTTGCTATAGGCCGATATGTATGAAATTAATATAAACGGCTATTATATAAATGGTCGATATTACTAAGAATCACAACGATATAATTAGCATAGGTTATACGACTCCAACTATATTAGTGAATGGACTTATATGATTGCTATATGCCGATATGTATGAAATTAATATAAACGGCTATTATATAAACGGTCGATATTACTAAGAATCACAATGATATAATTATCATAGGTTTATGACTACAACCATATTAGTGAATGGACTTATATGGTTGCTATAGGCCGATATGTATGAAATTAAGATAAATGGCTATTATATAAACGATCGATATTACCAAGAATCACAATGATATAATTACCATAGGTTATATGACTTCTACCATATTAGTCAATGGACTTATATGGTTTCTATAGTCCATATGTATGACATAATGAATTAAATTATATAAGCGGCTATTATATAAACGGTAGATATTACTAAGAATCACAACGATATAATTATCATAGGTTATATGACTTCAACCATATTAGTCAGTGGACTTATATGGTTGCTATAGGCCGATACGTATGACCATAATGATTGAAATTAATATAACCGCCTATTATATAAACGATCTATATTATTATGAATCACAACTATATAATTAGCATAGGTTAAATGACTACAACCATATTAGTCAATGGACTTATATGGTTGCTATAGGTTGATACGTATGACCTTAATGAATGAAATTATATAGACGACTATTATACAAGCGACCGATATTACTATGAATCACAACGATATAATTAGCATAGGTTATATGACTACAACCATATTAGTCAATGGACTTATATGGTTTCTATAGGCCGATACGAATGACCTTAATGAATGAAATTAATATAACCGGCTATTATACAAGCAGTCGATATTACTATGAATCACAACGCATTAATTAGCATAGGTTATATGACTACAACCATATTAGTCAATGGACATATATGGTAGTTATAGGTCGACACGAACGACCTTATTATAAACGGCTATTTGACAACTACCTCATCAACGTGCTATATCATTTTTGTATCTTTTTTTAGTTTTTTCTTCAAAGAATATGCATTATTCTTTGAATATTCGTAAAAATATTGTCCAAGTATTCTTCAATGTATTTTTGTATCTTAAAAATATTCGTAAAAATTTTTATGTATCTTTTTTTAGCTTTCTGGCAAAGAATATGCATTATTCTTTGAATATTCGTAAAAATATGTTACAAACATTATTCTTTAATGTATGTTTTATTTTCCATGTTTAATGGCTCCAAACTAGTTTCTAGGTTAGCATTCATGTTTAGGTTAGGGGGAAGGGTGGTGATATATGCGTTTAATGAAGGCTTTCTTAACATAAGTGTATGGTATAAGTTTGTATACCGTATAAAAAATAATATTATGTATAGATACTAGACTTTTGATCTTCCCATCGTATAAATTGTATTTTTTTTAAAATACGTAATAGTATAGGTATACATATACGAAGGATTTTGATCTTCCTATCCGTATAAATTTTATCTAAAATAAAATAAATACGTAATAGTATAGGTATACATATGAAGTTAGTTGATCTTCCCATGAGAGAATGATGGTTTATGGGACCAATGTTTTGGGATAATCAATATTTATTAACTAATTTTAGAGGGAAATATTTTGGAGGGAAAAATGGCCATTAAGCCAAATGTGAAATGAAGGGCTTTAGTGATATTTCACCAGTGTGGTCATTTTTGGGCCACGCTGAGTGTGGCCGAATAGCAGCTCTCTTTTTATTTTGGTCTAAAATAAGTATCCATTTATATTTCCAAGAAAAAATTCAAATTATTTTTCCAAAATTACCCTTATGTACGTATCCGTAAAAAGTCTTTTACTCTTCACATTAACTATGCTGCAATATTTAATTAAAGGTAGTTTAGTCATACTAAATACTTTTGTCTAGAATTTAGTATTTACTTAATGGGTGTGTCCAAGGCAAATTGATCACTTATTGGTTAAAATATCATGG